ACATTAAAATTACCATACTGCAGAATATAAATAGTCATAATACATTAAATTTTGTATAGAAATTTCAAAAAATCAAATAAAATGGAACAAACATATAGTTCTAAAACATCTTATATAAGAGAAATTTTTAAAAATGCCACTTTACAAAAATGCCACATTTTTACAATCTTTACAAAACTGCCACTTTTTTCAAAATTATTTATTCATTATATCATTTATGTTTGGGTTAACTATGTTGTATTARGMTTTAKTTTTGARGGTTTAAGGGGYTTTARGKGTCAAAAGATTTTTTARGGWTTAGAATTTTAAGATTTAGACTCTAAAAAATCATAATTAGTGGTATTTTTGCAAATGAGACATTTTTGCAAATGTGAACACAAAAAGTGGTATTTTTGTAAATGTCCCTATAAGATAAATGGAAAAAAGTACTATCTTTTTAAAATATATAAAAACCATTGTGTAGTAGGTTAAAACGTCATTGACATCCAAAATCATTAATGTAAAAATCATTGCGTACTAGATTGTTTTATTTCTCAACCAATCAAATTATGCATCCAAAAATTCAACATCAGTGAGTAGGTTTATTAGTACACTAGACCATAAGGTTGCATGAACATCAATACTTCCTTCTTCTATCCCCCTAAAAAGGGTGAGTTTGCCACCGACACCACTGCTTGGTCCTGACCGAACTGCGATTGGTTTACCCCAACCGAAGTCGTTATCATACACTTGGAACCAGGGAGAGCTTGTGACAGCCACAGAATTACTAATAACCATTCTACTTCCAACAGCGAATTTTGGGATTTTCACATTTCTAACCAATTTCTCTTCATAAGTTCTATAGTATTCATTGGTTAGAGACCCCACCATTTTACTTATTTGCATAGCAGCCCATCCCACACCATGATCCAGCAGCTCTCCCACCGTGGCTGTGGCTACGCCGAGATGGGCTACATTTCCAAAACACTCCTTCTCAAGTGGAGGGTTTAGCCTCTGCTTAAAGTCCGCTGCTACTCTACAGTGACTCTCTTCTTCTCGGTTTAGACCACTGTGTCTGGCAACTGATCGCCATAAATGTGCCGAAACCGCTTGAAGAGATGAGATTCTCTGCTCACTTGAGCTAATCTCGCAGTTAGCTTTAGCTTTGAGATCTGAAATATGCTTCTTTGTGAAGTGAGAGACTCTCTCTTGTGTAGTGGGCACGGGTGATATTTCACGGCTTGGTGGTGGCATCTCCATCTCTGAAACCGGAATACGACACTACAAGAAAACAGGCAGTATACCGACGGAATTTCCGACGGACGTAATATCCGTCGGAAATTTCCGACGACATACYGACRGATTTCCRAGCAAAATTAGTCCGTCGGAAATCCRTCGGTTTATTGTGACGGATTTCCGACGGCCAAGGAATCCGTCGGTATTCCGTCGGAAATCCGTCGCTCCGTACCGACGGATTTCCGACGGAAAAAGATGTCGTAATTTTCCGACGACTTTCCGACGGAAATCTGTTCTATATAAGCTACGACATTTCTATATTCGTTCATAACACAATTGTAAAAAGCCAAAAAATTTGTTAGCGATGGGTTCATATT